TACACGCAAGTTAGTTAAGATAGTTATATGGAAGAGAAAAGTCAGTGCCTCCTGAGAATCGGCCATGCTGGGACTGGGAGAAGCCTACCAAGAAGCCAACCTGCCAGTCTTTCTAGTAAGCCATGCAACTCATGCGGGGGCCAAGGAAGAGAAAAGTCAGACAGCAGGCTGAGAATCAACAACCAACAACCCTTAAGCAACTGGCTGATTCCGGGGACAGGCCCAGTTGATAGCAACTGAAGTACAAAAAGCAGCTGAATGTTGGTATTGTTTGGTTGATTTTGCAGGACTGAGGCCACCAAGTTGAGCATCTATAGGAATGACAGTATGCAATATAGCAAACATGGGGGATTTCCTTCTATCTCGTTTTTGAAATCCAATATTGTTCTCACTGTCTTGCTTTGTTCTGATTGTTTTGCTTTATTCAATATTCTGTTTTGATTCATTTTATTCTATTTAGTTTTGGTTTGATTTTGCTATGTCTGATGGAATGGACAACTACTGAGAAGATAAGGAGATATACTATGGTAACCATTGTTGTTTTTCTATTATTCTGCTTTAAAGTTCTGTACCAATTTCACTATTTGTTTTGATTGACTTTATTCTTTTTTGTATTGTTGGAGTTTATTTTCTTTAAAATAAAAGATAGTTATACAGCTGATTTCTCTTAGTTCATTGACAAGAAAGTTTTGTATATATATATATATATATATATATATATATATATATACATTTTTTTTCTTTTTCTCTTTTTATCGGTACCGAGGATCGAACTCAGGACCTCCTGCTTGCAAGGCAGATGCTTATGCCGCTGAGCTAAATCCCCAGCCCCGACAAGAAAGTTTTGAACAATATTTCATGCCTATATCTTGTACTCTGAGCAAGAGTTCAGAGTTCTACTATGAATAGAAAAATATGCAATATATTAATTATTGTTACTTTCCTACTATCCTGTTTTGAAATTCTCTTTTGTTATTTTTACTTTTTTCTGTTTAAAACAAACAAATACTCCAGAAAAGTGAAATTGAGATTGGAGTACAACTCAGCAGCAGAGCACTTACTAATGTACACAAATCCCTGGGTTTCATCTCAAGCACTACAAAAAAGTGGGGGTGGGGTTTGGGGAGGAATTTCACTATGGATTCTGCACTTATTTTTAAAAAAGTAAGAGCTGTATATGGTGGTGGACACTTGCAATCCAACCACTCTGGGAAGCTGAGGAACAAGTATCACAAGTTTGAGCCCATCTTGGAGAATTTAGTAACTGAGAACCCCATTTAAAAAAAAAAAAAAACTAGAGCTGGGGATGTAGCTCAGTGTGACTGTGACTGCTTTGGGCTCGATTCCCAGGACAGAGAGAGAGAAAGAGAGAGAGAGAGAGAGAGAGAGAGAGAGAGAGAGAGAGAGAGAGAGAGAAGGAGGGAGGGAAGGAGGGAGGGAGAGAGAAGGAGGGAGGGAGGGAGGGAGGGAGAGAGAGAGAGCACGCATTAGTAACAATGTAAAGGAAGTGGGTCAGTTCCTCAAAAGAATGCCTAATGTTAGCAAAGTTGTAGAGAAACTGGGTTAGTTTTACGTCACTGGTGGAAATAGAAAATTGTTTAGTCACCCTGGAAAACACATGGTCTGCTTTACATAAAACTAAACATCCGCTTAGAATCTGGCTATTGCATTTTTGAACATTTGTCCTAGAAAAAAGGAAATCTATGTTTATACAAAAACTTTCATAAGTAGCCCTCGCAGCTTTATTTGCAATATTCAAAAGTGGGAACAAGCCAATTGCCCTTCAGTGGATGAGTGTTAGACAAACTCTGGTACATTTATATCGTAGAATGCTACTCATTAATAAGAATAAACAACTGAAATAGATAACTGAATTATTCTATATAGGAAAACCCCCAATCTTTAAAAAATGTACACTGTGTAAATCTGTTATAAAACACTCCTGAAATAGCAAAATCATAGAGCTAATGAGTTGATTAATAGTTGCCAGTTAATGATAGTTTGTTGGTGATTGATGGGTATATGAAGCCATAAAGCATACAGTTGCATGGAACAATACACACACACACACACACACACACACACACACACACACACACACACCCCACATAAACAAGCGCATGTGGAGCTGAGGGAAATGCCCTGTGGATCATGCCAGTATCCATTTCCAGGCTGTGGTATTTTATTGAGGTTACACAGGTGTTACTGTTGAGGGAAAATGGGTGAGGGATCTTTCCAACTTTCCATGAATCTGTTTGTCATGGTAAAAAAGTCTTTAAAACTGTATAGTAGAGGAAGCCAGACGAAGGATGCTAGGAAATACTGACACACAAAGAACAAGTCAGACATAGAACAGAGAACATCTCAGGCTCCCTGAGATGCAAGTAGCGGCAGCAGGGAGCCTCATGTGGGTGAGTGTGCGGGCTGAAGCCACACACCTCGGGAATGTTTGAAAGGATCTCCGGGTTATCCTTAGAGCAAGAGGAAGGGACAGCTAGATTCACTGCTGGGTGCAAGTGGTTAATATTAATTATAGCAAGCAAATGAAACTTGTACTTCTGTATTTGTAATTTGAGTTTTCTCTATCAAGAAGAATGTTCTTCAGACTGAAATTGGTGGGAAAATATCCTAAAGAAAGACGTGAAGGCTTAAAGAGTTGAAAAGCTGGTGAGAGGTCCAGAAAAGTTGGTGAGCCAGACTTTACAGGAAGGGCAGATGGGCAAAAGGAAGTCCTTGAGAAACACACCCACCCGCGCATGACAGGAAACCTCGAACTCAATAGGTCCTAAGTTTCAAAAAGGCAGAAGCAAGGGCACCCCAGAAAGCTTTCCTCTCAGGGACAGCTGGGAAGGCTCTTGTTCAAGCTTACATGCTTTGTGGTGAGGAAGGAGGCAGGCGGGACATCAACACAGGAGGACAAACCTGGGATTCTGTCACGCTGTAAGTGTGAGAAGAGCCATGGTCCAGGCCCTTCAGGAAACCCAAACAGTCTTCATGCAGTCATTTCATGATTATGCACACATCAGATCATCACACCTACACTGTGATATATACACTTTTTACGTCAGCCATACCTCAAAAATTAGCAGAGAGAGAGAGAGAGAGAGAGAGAGAGAGAGAGAGAGAGAGAGAGAGAGAGAGAGAGACAGAGCCAAGCAGAAGGAAGGGAGTTGCCCTTAGTGATCAGATAATATGGGGAAGGTGAGAAGGCAAGTGACAGGGGAGGGGATAGAGTATATTTTGATCGTAGGTTGTCCAAGGAAATTTATATTCTTTACCACTTTTAGATTAATGTTAGATAATACGGCTATATTACAAAAGTTCATCAAACTTGCTTCTAAAATTTTTGTCAATATATGGTTAAAGTCTCTCCCTGGTGTCCTTGAGTAGTTAAAAAATGTTCAATATTTTATCAAGTAGGGTAAAGCAGTATTTTCCGTTTGCATTTTACAAAAGAGAGAAGTAAATGAGAACACTGCATATGTTTTTCAGTGATGTTTTTGTGCACTGTAGGTGAAAGGTTTAAGACAATGATTTTTCTGAAGAAAATAAAACTATATGCAGGAAGGAAAAGAAAGAAAAAGGAGAGAGAGGAGAAAGAGAGAGACAGAGAGAGAGACAGAGAGAGACAGAGAGAGAGAGAGAGAGAGAGAGAGAGAGAGAGAGAGAGAGAGAGAGAGATTGAGGCTTTTTAGTAGGCAAAATAGAACACACAAAGATGTCTGGAGCCATTCAGCACTGATGCCCTGAGGGGTCACTGTGTCTTTCAGTCTCACCATGATTACTGTCCATAATGACATTCATCTGGAAAATTCCATATGTTCCACAATTTTTGTATTGAAAGGTTAGGAAGATGTCAATGCGTTAAGAAAATATTCCATTTCTTTGGAGTTGTATCAGGCTTTTTTCCTTATTTTGGCTAGAATTTTAGTTCTAGCTCAAATCAGAAATCTGGGATTTGCCCCTGAACCCTGCACCTCCTTCTTGCCTATGCTTCCCTCCCATCCTGCTGATCTGACTTCTAAGGCTTCTCTAGCACATTCTGTCTTTTCCTTCTTTACAGCCGCTGCACCTCATCACCCCTTGCTGCCCTGATCTCTCTTCAACCTGTCCTCATCTACTACAGGGAGAAACCTCAGAGACCACCTGTGGCATCCAGCCCACTTCACCCCTCTACAGCCTTCCCTTTGTCTGCAGAATTAAATTTCTACCTCTTGGTCTCAGGGAGGTTCTTCTTCCAATTTTCACCCTACATAAGGGATATTCTTGGAATATCCTTTGTGATGTAGTTTAGAAAAGTGGCACCCACCTGGCCCCAGGCACTCTCTCCTTCCTCTAACTTAACTCCCTTTTATCTTACAAACTTTAAAAGAGAATAGAAAGTCAGAGATCACTTGGGAAGCAAGCCTATTTCTGGCTTTAAATGTGACAATTTCTTCAAGATTTTTAAACAATGTATCACCCATGTAACACTGAGCAAGAAAATAAGACAACAGGGTGACTGAATTTTTAAAAGCTCTGCTCAAGCTAGATAAACTAATTCTGAAACTAAAAATATACCCTAGCCAACCTAGTGGAGAACATGTTCCTAAGTTAGCACATCAGCCACAACAGAAGCCACTCTAGAGAATTTTATAGCAATTACATTAAAAAAAAAAGAATATGTAACATGGCTAATTGGCTTCAGTTCTTTTAACCCCTCAGTTTTGCACTATCATTTTGTCACAAAATTACACATGGCAGAGTGAGACATTCATTGAGTAGAGGATATATAGTAAGTATTGCATTTATCCAATTTATCCTTCAAATACAATGTAAAGGAATGACAAATTTTAAAAAAAGCTATATGCTAAAGATACAGTACCTAAAATTAACATTTCAGAAATTCCAGGTTGATGCGTTCCAGACACATACTAGTGAGAAACAGGTACAAAATGCAGCAATGGTGCAAACCTCAACTTGCCCCTTCTTATATTTCCCCAAAAGAAAGACTTAATTACCAGGAAGTTCTTTCACTGGAGAGTAGCAGTTAGTATCAATTTCGAAGTTCTCCATCACTGGCAATATAGTTTGGTCACAAGTTGCTCCTTCCTCAGTGCTCCCCACATACTCCTCCTCTTTGAGGGTTTCATTACTTTTCATTGCTTAGTTTTATAGGTGGCCAAAGCTCTGGAGCCAGCAAAAATGTTTCCGAAGAGGAACCACTCATTCCCATTTCACTGCTGTGGTTAATAGTGGACCAAAAGGACTTCCTTTTGGCTCTAATTTCTGAATTTGCAAAATGTTTCCTGAAATGACCAGGACTGGGCATTTGTCAAATTCGGGTCACTCTCATGTGGAGCCCCTGCTTAGTGCAGCTTCTTGGTGAATGTGTGTGTGGGGGGGGGGGGTCAGGGGTGAGTCAGCTTTGTGGGAAGGCCCTAGGGAGGACAAGTCTTTTGCTCCCTTTTTTAAAATCAAGCTTTCCATTAGTCCCAGACCCCAGTGGCTATTCCAAGATCTCTCAGTGTACCCTGCAGTCTCCTTACTCTGATCCCCTTTAATCCTTATGGTTCATCCTTGCTACTTAGAGTGTGGTTCCAGTACCAAAGGATCAGCATCAGTTGGTGGTGTGTGAGACACAGTCTCATTCATTGTACAGAACGAATCCAAATACAGTTTAAAACATCCCCAGATGGTTCTGATGCACATTAAAGTCTGGGAAACACGGGTCCATATCACCCATTTTAGCACCTCTGGTTCTCCTTGAAGTTTCCCCATGTTCTGTATGTGTGTGTGTGAATGTGTGTGCACATGTATGCTTGCTCCTACCCAGATGAGACCTGTGCTCCTTACAGGAGGACACGCTTCCTCTGTATACCAGCGATCCCTGGTTAAGACACAAATGCTAAGAGTTAGGCTGCCTGATTCAAATTCCACTTCTTCCATGTAGGAAGTGTGGGATGGTGGGCCAGTCATTTGAGCTTTGAGCATTTCATGCTCCTCATTTGTAAAATAAGGAAGACGCTAAATAATTGTACTAAATGAATTAAATCCTGAAAGCTGGTTGAGTGTGCATCTGATCCATAATCAGCACTACGGCCACTAGAGATATCACAAACCTACTGGAGCTGCCTGGATGGTGCAGTAGGAAATATGGATATAGATCTGGAGGAATTCCAGGAAGCTGCTGTGTAATGCAGCTGAGAGGGCAGAAATGGCCTGAATGTGGGGAGGTCAGGTAAGTGTATCTCACATAATCTTACTACCTGAACCAAAGAGGTGGGTTTAGAGGGATGAGCAGGGTGACCAAGATAAAGGAAGGGCCTCCTGGGTAGGAAGGAGAAGTAGGGCTTCACAGGGGTGGGACAGCTGGGAGGAAACCTTGAGACTTTGGGTCTATTTGGGACCTAGATGCATTTTTGGGGGGATGGGGTTATAGGATACTAAACTCAGAACTCTGTGTTTGCCAGGTTGGTTGTGCTGCTGAGCTATATCTCTGGCCACTTTAGGTCTATTTGGGACAGAAAAGGTGATGGCAGGCCATGGGATTGGGCCAGCATAAGTCCCTTACTTTGGTATATGGCATGGCAGAAAGTGAAAGGGGATAATATTTAAGAAAGTGTTTTATAGGCAGTCCCCACAAGGCAGAGATCCTCAGAGGAACCCACAATATCCACATTGGGGAAGTTGCTGGCTTCAACAGAGGGGTAGGAACAGAAGCTGGGACAGAAGAAGTTAAAAGAGAGAGTTAGAGGGAGGAAGTGAATGCAGCTGGCAGCTCTGTTCAGAGGGCTAGACACACAATGGGTGATGATAGAGGCTTCAGGAAGTTCCACCCCAAATCCCCAAGGCTCACTTTTGGTTTAGGGCCTCCCTTCTGCCAGGGCCTCTCAGCTCAGTGCTAGCCCTCAGATAGAAAGGAAGCAATTAAAAATCACTGTGGTCCAGGTACAGTGGCACATCCCTGTAATCACAGGAGTGTGGCAAGTTCGAGCCCAGCCTGGGCAATTCACCTTAGCCAGATGCTATCTCAAAATAATTTTTTTAAAAAAAGGGTTGGTGTGTAGCACAGTGTAAAAGTCTTGGGTTCGATCGCTGGTACTGAAAAAAAAAGTGCCAAGAACCAATCATTGCATGGCCTGATCGGGGAGCATCTGGTGGATGCCAAGTTCTGTTATTTCAGCTCTGGCTACAGGAGCTACACAGACCTGGCTCTCAAACTCAAGGCTTCCACAAACTTTCTGTGTGAGCTTGGTGGACTTAGTTAATTTCTCTCAACTGTAACATGAAATTGTAACTTGTAAATCAGCAATAGTAAACCTTTTAGAGTTTTCAATGATATAAACATCCTGCTGTGGCATGCATGCCATACATAGGTTCACCATTACTGTCCTAGGGAACTGTGATGCAGGATTTACTATTATGCCAGGCAATGTGCTAGACATTTTCATATATTGCTTAACACTCACACAACTTGTAACTTGTGTTCATTCTACAATTAGAGAGAGCTGGCATCAGAATTTGAAACCAGGACCCCTTGCTTCTATACTCTGTTTTAATTTTGGTTTAATCCAGGGCCTCTAGTCCTGAGGTTTGCACCAGAAAAGCTTTGTGAGAACACACACAGCCACCCGCCATCTTGAAGCTCTGGTCTTAATAAGTCCCCTGGTTGGCTGTATTGTGGGGCCAGTCTGAGGATCACTGAGCAGAATAAATGAAACACTCATAAGCAGTAGGGAGATCAAGAGAGGCTTCATGTCTCATCCTTGGAGGCTCCATTAGTTTGAGCCATATGAAATTACTGACATTCATCCCCTTTCACATGCAATAAATGAATGGATATATGAATCGAGCTAATTCATCCACCATGTAGTTCCTGGGACTTAGAGCAGGGACCAGGGTGAGACAAGAGTGTCACTAGCCTCAGTGACGAAGATGTAGTCATCAAGATAAATAATATTTTTAAAGTCAACTGATGCAAGCATTCTGTGATCAGCAAAATGTTAGCATTTTGAATAAAGATAGCATCCCCTGGCATTTGCAGCTCTGCTGGCTGGCTCCTCTTTTCCTGGCCCTCTCATTAGCTCTGGGTTTCAGTGACCCCATTATAGGGAATACCGAGAGTTACCCTCTGTGCACAGAGGTTGGTGTGAGGATCAAAGTATGTACATTCGTAAACAAAAGGGCTCTGTGTAAAAGAGGATCTTACATCAAGTCAGCACGGAAGGTGAAGTCCCTGCATTGTCAAGGTTGCCTTTAAAGATCCTCTAAATCTTCCATCAAGCACAAAATATGCAATTTAGGAAATATGGTATGTTCTCTTCCTAAGTTCCACTCAGATATTTTTATCTCCGGGAACGTGGATGTGACTGTTTCTTTCCCAGGCAAAGTGGTTGATTTGTATCTGAGGACCAGTTTGCCTAAGAATGGCAGTGTTTGGTTTTATCTTGTTCGCAGTGTGTATAATAGGATTGGAATATTTCAGTGAGTGTTCGGACAGGCTCTGGTATAGTTAGTTATACCCAGTTCTGATGGGTATTATTCACACAAGATGATAATGAATGGGGACTAGCAGACCCCAAGGAACTGTGACTCCACTCTTGGAAGACTATAGACTTTAATTTTCTACCAATTTGTAAGCTTCAAATTAGTTCATCCAGTGGTCAAGAAAAGCCCCTGAGAAACCTTATTTCAGCTTAAACTGGGGGCAAGCATGCTAATGGTCATAAAAGAATCATACCAGCCGAAGAGTCTAAAAAACCCCACAGCTCGCAGTGAATAGACACACCAAGTTTTTGTGGCTGTTCCCATGTCCCTGCCACCTCTTCCTCACTATTTGTTCTGTCGTGTTTCTAATCATCTCATTCCAGAGCTGCTGGGAAGGGAAGGCTGGGGAAAAGAAAGTGTACAGGAGACATGTGTTAGACGTTTCTGTCTATTGATCTTACTTTTCCTAACAGTGACAGTGACAGTGACAGTGACAGTGGTAGCCATACAGTGTTATAGGTCTAAGTTAACTCCTGGTGATTAAGAAGGATAAGGATTGGGGCTGAAGATGTGATTCATTGGTAGATTGTTTGGCTAGCATGTGTGAGGTTCTGAATTCCATCCCTTGAACAACCAAAAATGAAGAAGGGTATAAAGAATTAATTTTATAATTATTAATTGGTTCATTACATTTTCAAATAAAAGATAAGTCATACAAATGACCATTAACACGTGAATAAGTTGTAGTATCCATACAATGGAATACTAGTAAGCCAGAACAAGGTAAAAGCCTAAGCATAGATGAATCTCAAAATTCTTTATGCTGAGCAAAAGAAGCAAGGACTCAAAGAGGACATACTGTATGATTCCTTTCATAGAAGGTTTCAGCACAAGCAGAATTCACTTACAATATTGGGAAATAGAGCCATAGTGACTAAGCGTAGAAGAAGGAAGAACTGGCTGCCTGCTGTGCAGTGTGGGGAAGTTCCTGGGGTGATGGAAAGGTTATGGACCCTGATTGGGGTGTTACTTACAAGGCTTTATGAACTATACATTTACAGTTTGTATTTTATAATATGCAAATTATTTCTCAATAAAGTTAATTAAAACAGAAATTAAAAGAAAGCAATGAAAGAACCCTCATTAGACCTTGCTTGTGACTGGGAATTGAGCACATATAGGGGCTGAGTGCATATAGGTGAGGAATGGAGCTGGTGCTCAGAGAACACAAGGAAGAAAAGAGAAGCAAACTAGCTACACTGAGACTCTTCTTTGACCTGGTGCTACTGTCCAGGGCCCACCCAGGGCAGCAGTGGAGAAGGTAACTATCTCTCTGCTCTGATTCTAGGGACACAAGTCTCTTTTGATGTTCTCACGGAGGGACCAAACCTTTCGTTCCACCAGTTAGGAAGGAGATGTAAAAGGCATTTCCAAGTAGGTAATTTACACACCAACCCTGGTGTGTAAATGAATAATATTGTTCCTTTCTCAGAGCAGGTATACAGGATTGGAGAAATGTGGAGCTCAGATACTAGCAACATTGAAGCCTGGAGGTCTCTGAACAAGAAGATTTTAAATACATACTGGAAAAAGTAAGAACCACTGTTAAAAAATTTGCAGCTGTTAACAGTTGCGTAATTCTGATTGATCTAAAACAATTTCACCAGAGCAAGTCAGCATTGAGAGCAAACAGGATAGAATAGGGAAGTGAAGACATCAGAACTACTTGGGAGGTGGAGATTGGTCAGTCTCCATTTGTCCCTCAGTTGTTTACAAAGTATCCCAAACTCTGTGCCCCTGAGAAAACAACCCCTACCCTTTGAGCTTGTTTCAGACCCCTCAGCCACATGCTCCCAAGGTCACACCCTATCTTGTCACTTTTAGTAACTGTAAGTCCTTCCCAGTTGTCCATCCCATCCAATTCATTGTCCTGCCTCTGTCTTTCCAGCTCTTGTTTTTAGTTCACTGACTCCAACAATTCTCTGATGCTAGGACTTTTGGGTCAGTCATTATGATCACCTTCTTGCACACATCCGCACCTCCTTTATGCTTCATTGGACTTGACAAAAGCAAGAACTTTAGATCCAATCCTGGTAAATGGAAGGTAATAGAAAAAACAATGTGATCACACTGGTGTTCTTATTTTAATTATATGTCTTGAACTGCAAATGAACCTCAATCCTGCTTGGAAATTGTACTACAGTTATTTATTCAACTCACTCTCCTGAACAACTCTTCCAGTCCTATCTTCATTCTATTTCTTGTCTGCACTCTCAGTTGCTGACCCTGCCTTCCTTTTTACTGATAAAATTCAATCATACCATCAGTCTGAGGGTATAGGCAACTAATTTGAAGGCAATAAGATTCACAAAGATGCCCATTCTGGTTTGACTATTGTCTCCTTTGGAAGTCCTGTAATGTTCACAATGCCTAAGTTTTATTGGTCTTATTCTCCACTGTTTTGTCCAACTTTATAATATCTAATGAGATAGACAATTCCTTTTAAGGAAACAAGAGTCAACGTTGATAACCATTGTTAATAACCTTGTACTCTGTTCTACATCATGTGCTATGTCTATCCTTGGTTTTGACTTACAGCTTTGTTTTGCCATATTTGACTTTATTCTCCCCCCCAAAAAAAGTAATAAGAACTAAGGAGTAATAAAATCCAAAATGTGTAAATTTTGTTGTAAAAAAGAGAGGGAGGAAAAAAAAAAAGAGCTCTAACGGATATAACAGCAAGTGTGTTTAGGGGTGTTAAATAGCTGACTATACTAATGTTTTTGGATCATTGAACACAGCTGTTTGCAGTCTCTCTGTTTGAATGTCTACTTTGTATTCTTTGATACTGTGATTTGAGCAACTATTTCCAAGATGATAATATGTAATCTATTAACAGGTGATTTCTTACTGTTATTTTTTTTTGTAGTTCTGTATTATGTGTAACCTTACACTGCTTTGTTTTGTTTTGTGTTTTTCTCTTTTTCCTCTTAAATAAAAAAAAAATCATACCATCAAAAGCATCTGCACTGATGATTCCACCTGCCTTCCAAAGACTCAGGGAAACATTTCCGGCTCCTATCAATAGTCCATTCCTCAACATATGCACCAAAACCGACCCCTCTCACCAACATGAAGGTGTTTTTCCAGCAGCAGTTCCTGTTCTTTCCTCAATGACATTGATTTTCCTGGGGCATCTCCAATTGCTGAATATATTATGTTATTATCTTCTAATGTACTAACTCTTGACTTCTTCCTTACAACCTACCACCCAATTTTTGCTTTCCTCTATAGTTACCTATGCCCAATATCTTCAACTCCTCTCTTCCTAGGCACTTGTGTATCAACTCCAGAGGGACTTTTATTGTCATCATTCAACCAAACTATCCTTGTTAATATCACATGCCACATGTGACATTCTATGATTAAAATCTTTAGTCCTTATTTAACTTATCAGAAACACTTGGTAAGGGTGTTTACTCTTTCCTACTTGAAATATTCCCCTTAGCTGACTCCTTACTTTTCATAACCTCTTAGTGTCAGAGTGTCTTGTTGTCAGGGAGTCTAATCTCTGCCACTTTTCCATTTATACTTTAATCTCCTGGTTATAAGTTCCACCTGTGTCATGATTCTTGAATTCATATTTTTAAATTATACTTTTTTTGAACTTCAGACTCAGTTCTACATGTTTATTCCATAGACAACTCCCTATATCAAAACAATTCCTCACATTTCTTCCATCTTACTGGATGATAACTTCATTCTTTCAGTCAAAATTCTTGAGGTCAACATTGAATATCTTTATTTCTCTCATTCATTTTTTTTCTCAACATTTACTCTATTAGAAAATCTATTGGTTTTCCTTTAAAAATATACCCAGAATTTGAAACTTCTTACTACCTCTTTGGTGAAAGACACCATAATCTTGCACCTGGAACACTTCAATAGCTTCTTAATTGGTCTCCATACCTCTGTCCTTGACACTATATAGCCTTGTTTATTATGTATTAAAAGGATCATTCTGGGCTACTGTAAGTTATGAGTGATATCAAGGAAAATGGTGCTGTAGGACATAGCAGGTATCTGTCTCTCCACCTACACTATCAGAAATAGACTGAAGTGAGATCAGGTGTTGTGGCCCACACTCGTAATCCCAGCTTTTCTGGATGTCAAGAAAGGAGGATCACAAGTTGAAAGTGAGCTTGAGCAATGTAGAGGGACCCTGTCTCAAACAAAAAAGCAGCGGTAGAGTGCTTGCCTATTGAGTCTGAGTCTGTAGGTTACATCCAAGAAAGAAAGAAGAAAGGAAAGAAGAGAAGAGAAGAGAAGAGAAGAGATAGGATCAAGACAAAACAAGAAAAGGAAGGAAGAAAGGAGGGGGGTCTGAAGTGACTATTATGTAACTCTGGAATTTACTATTCAAATATTTCATTTGCATTGTACAGGAGCATCTTGACTGATAAACCGAAGCTAACGTCTGTTCATGTTAGCCATTGTACTACAATAGCGACCTAGTTCCAAACTCCCAGCCCTGTGACAGGAAGCTGTGTGGACAGCAACCCAACATTTCTTACATGGCTTACTAGAATAATAAAAACTTTATCCTCTAACTTTTAGAGTTCTTTGTTCTGGGTATAAATTTCTGCTTCTGGTTACTGAGACACAGGCATGGAGATTGGATGACATTATTTCAACTTCTCATTAGCTGAGTCACTTCCAGAAGACTTAACAGAGCTGCACTTGTTTTCAGAAAGCTGACATATATGCACAGAGAAAGAGATAGGCTCAAAGAATACCTCAGAAAACCTTGAGATTTCATTTCAGGCTGATTTTCAGCATAGAAACATACTAAAACATTTAAAAAAACAGCAAACCTTAAGGAGAGAATATTATTTCCAGTTATACTATAAGATTCAAATGTCAATCTCTCTTCCCTGGTACCACCAAAAAAAAAAAAAATGTCAATCTCTCACCAACAGCAAAAGGCACACAACAAAATAGGAAAGTATATTTCATTTTAAGGAATGAAAAATGGACAGAAAATGTACTTGAAAAAGCTCAAATATCATACTTAAATTGACAAGGAATTTAAAACTATTGTTTTAATAATCATTTCCCATTTGCCTTGAGAATATTCACCAGCGGTGCTTTCGGCTGCAGAGTTTACCTTGAGATTACTCATGGATTACAGTCCTAACTGTACCCCTAAAGTTTACAACAAAACATTTTACTTTTATTGTCATTTTTGCATTGCTCTGTTATATCAATAGTCTTTGGAAACAAAATGTTTAATCTTATTTATTTTTTATTCATATACATTTGTGATACATCTCCATCTGTTTTACCCTCCTCTTTCCTAGATTCCCTTATTTACTTCTAAAAAGTGTACCACCTTCTTTTCTCTCATCTCTCTTTTATTTCACCCTTTAAATTATTCACATTTTGGGTTTTTCCACATAAGAGAAGCTATGCAATATTCAACCTTTTAAAAGTATGGAATATTTCCCAAATTTGAGTGCCATCTTTATATGGGGATTATGCTAATCTCTGTTTCGTTCCAATTTTAGTATATGTACTGCCAAAGTAAGCACAAGACAGCATTCTGCTTATAGCATTCTGCTTTAAGTAGCAACATTTCTATTATGAAATATAGTAATTCTTGAGTGCTGAAAATTAAGTGAACAAGCTGCCCTCTCTTTAAAAGCAGGGAATGGGTTTAAAGATGATCAAATAGTAAAGGAAGAAATAGAAAAAGGAACATAATGTATGGACAAAATGAGAATATCAGTAATTAGATAGAAAATATTAAAAGGGCCAATAAAAAATTCTGATGCTGAAAAATACAATAACTAAAATGAGAAAACACATTAGAGGGGTTTGTATAGTCAGTGTTTGCAAGAGAACAAATTTAATGCATGACTCGGAAATTTGTGAAAGTACCTTACAATATTTGTCTACAGAGTCAAATGTAGAAGAGGGCAAGAGATCTGTCCATGTGCTAGAGAGTCAAGGAATTCCACCGAGGGTCTGGATCCTACAGCAATGTCCACGAGTCCAGCCAGGCCTGCAACCCACTGCAATGTCCCAATATCCCATGCAAGTCTGCACCAGGATGCTGAGGAATCTGCGATGTAAAAAGTGAAAATCTGTGCTGGAAAATCCAAGGACTGATACCAGAGGCTAGAGTGTGTGTGTGTGTGTGGGGGGGGGCGGCTACAAGGCTGATGCTGGAGGCTGAAGAATCTGCTCCGAGATCCAGGAGACAGCTCTCAAGGTGAAGGCCAAACCCAGAGCTCCCAGCTCAAGTGTTTGTGTCAAAGTTCAGAAGACAACACTCAAAGTGAAGGTGAAGACCAGAACAACTTTGGCACAGGTAGAGCTCCGACCAAGACAACAGCCAAATTTTCTCTGAGGGAATCAGCAGAAAGTCCTCTCCCTACTATTTTCCTATTATACCATTCCCCAGAATCACACTAACTCAGTTCAGTTGGGCATTCCCACTCAAACTGACCTCCAAAGGATTCAAAAGAAGATTTGATCAAACTGAAAAAGAATCAGAAAACTTGAAGATACAACGATTAAGAGTGCTGAGTTTGAGGAGCCAAAATGAAAAAAGGATGAAGAGAAGTAAACAAGCCTAAGGGAACCATCAAGCAGAAAAAATGTTCACATTGTGATAATTCCAGGATGAGAAGAGACAAAAGACAGAAGAGATATTTGAAGAAGTAATGCCTTAAAAGTTTGAAAATTTGATGAAATACATGAATCCACAAGTTCAACAAGTACAATAAACAAATAAATAAGTAGGATAAACTCAAAGTGACTCAGCACAATAAAGTTTGAAAATCTGATGAAACACATGAATTTACAAGTTCAACAAGTACAATAAATAAATAAGTAGAATGAACTCAAAGAGACTCAGCAAAGCACATTATAATTAAATTTTCAAAGAACAAAGACAGAATCTGAAAAGCACCAACATAGAAGCCACCCAGCATTCACTGGGCTGTCATGAAGAACTCCACTGATTTCTTGTTAAAACCAGAACTAGAGGCCAGAATGCAAGGGGTGAACATATTCAAAGTGATGAAAGAAGAAAAAGTTGTCAGTGAGAAATGGTATTTGGTAAAACTGTTCTTCAGACATGAAGGAGAAATGATGATAATCCCAGATAAACAACCCAGCCCTACATGAGATACTGAAGACAGTCCATTACGCAGTACCAGTAGTAACTGGAAGCCATGTGAACACATAAAGATTTCTAATAAAGATAAACACAGGAGCTATTATAAAAGGTATTATTGTAATTTTAGTCTGTGACTTTACTTTCAATTTTCTGTAGTAATGAAAGAAATATGCATAAAATTCAGTTGTTAGTCTATATTGTTGGGTGTACAAAATATAAAACCTAACCTGTGACATCAGTAATAAGAGGAGAAAATAGGTATTCTAGAAGCAGCTATTGTATGCTACTAAAGAAACATGGATATAAATTCAAACTACAGGTCTAGGGATATGTTTAGTGGTAGATTGTGTGCCTAGCATGGACAAGGCTCAGGGTTTCATCCCAACTATCAAATAAAATAAAATAAATTCAAGTTAGATTATTATAATTTTAAGATATAAATGGAATTTCCATGGTAATCACAAAGAAATATTGAGTTTATATGTAAGGAAATAATGAGAGAATAAAAACTGCACCATTTAAAAATTTTTTTAAAAAAATCTACCGGAAAAAATAGAAGTGAAGGATAAAAACCTGTAAGGCATGCAGAAAACAAATAGCAAAAGATAAGTACTTCTTATTGATAATTATTTTAAATATAAATGAATGAATATTAAAAGAAAGCTTGGTAAAATGAATTTGAAAACATAATCTAACTATATACTGGCTTAAGAGACTAATTTTATTTATTTGGTACCAAGGATCAAACTCATGACCTTGCGCTTGCCAGGCAGGCACTTGTGCCAATGAGCTAAATCCTTGGCCCAAGAGACTCATTTTAGATCTAAAGACAAAACTAGGTTGAATGTGAAAATATGGAATAAGATGTAAATAGTAATGAGAAAGAAACATGATGTGGTTATACTAGCATCAGACAAAATAAACTTCATTTTGAGGAAGAGAAAGGTGGTACAGGGAATTGAACTCAGGAACCCACACTTGCCAGGTAGGCATTGTGTCACAGAGCTAAAACTCTGGCCCAAAACAAACTTTAAATCTGCAAAGTCATATCTACAAAGATATCTTTGTTGATAAAAGGTTCAGTGCATCACAAAGATATAACAATCACAAACTTTTACAGACTGCTGGGTTTCAAATGTGTCCCTCCAAATTTCAGATGTTGAAACCTAATGGACAGTGTGATGGTTTTCAGAGACAGGGTCTCTAAGAGGTGATGAGGTCAGGAAGGCTTCTCCCTCTTGGATAGGATTAAAACCCTTGTAAAGGGTATGCATGCAATGTTTTACTTGCTTTCCCTTTTGTCTTCACAGCATTCCCCTCCTTTCAACAAGGAACCATTTTGGAAGCAGAGAGCTGCCCTCACCAGAAGACTGAATCTGTTGATGCCTTGATCTTCAATTTCCCAGGTTTCAGAGCTGTGAGAAAATAAATTCTATTATTTATCAGTTATTCATTCTCTGGTGCTATGTAATAGCAACATGAATAGTCTAACAAAACATCTTCAAAATATATGAAGAAAAATTGACAAAATCAAAGGAAGAAATAGGTACTTTAGTACTCTAGCTTCAATAATGAGTAGACCAATCAGACAGAAAATAAGAAAATTAAGGATTTGAACAACACAATAAGCCAATCAGAACTAAAAGACATCCACAGACACATTCTTCTCAAATACATAAGGATACCACCACAGGTCAGGCCACAAACTCCATCTCCATAGATTTAAAAATACAGGTTCAATAACAGAAGAAAAACTGGGCATTTCACAAATACACAGAAATTAACTAGCACATTTGTAAACAACCAGTATGACAAAAAACATTACAAGGGAAATTAGAAAATAAGAAAATGCAAATGCAATATACTAAAACTTATGCACATTTACAAGTGATTGCAAATTATAAATGTTATGTTTTATATGTTTTACTAAAACAAAAATGTTATTAACCAAAATGGCTTAATATCATTCTTTGCTGAATAATAAGACTTCGAACTTGGAAATCTGGAGAAAGAGCATTCGTCTTCCCCTTTCCTCCACCCTCAAGCCTCTTCCTGTCCTATTGGCTCCCAGAAGTCTGAGTTCAGAGGTACATTCCCTTTGGGGCAAAGTTCATTCACAGCTGTACAGTTTCATATAATTGTGGCAGAACCAGAAATGAATGAGCGATCTGAACCTAAAAAGCAGAAGTGGTTAATGAAAGAGGTCCCAGCCCTAGAGTGCTTGCTGAGGCTTTTTCTCTCTAATTTTCATTTCTGGATACTGCCAGCAGTGAATCTCTGGCACTGAGAAGGCCAAATTGGCATGTGGACCAGAAACACAGGGTGGAAAATGTGTTCCCTGCTGTCCTCTGGAGTTTCACAGAGCACCTAAAGGACTGAGAAGGAGGGAGCATTAATTTTAAGTTTGAAGTGGCTAACAGATGAGCAACTGGATGATTAATATGTGCTGCACCTCCAGGCAGCTGGGCTTCCCAGTCCAAGTAGAACGCTGGTTTCATATTGTCCCCACTTTGGTGCAAGCCAGGGGCATACAGGTTGCTTTTGAGAGACAGGGGTATGCAGTCAGGCTGAAGTCAAGTGAGGTGAGATCAGCATTCCTTTGACTATGGGATCTAAGCTCAGGTATAGATGGAGAGGAATTCTAGCCATTCAAAATGGATCGAAGCTGTGTAATACACTTTGTCAGGGTGGCCACAGCCAACATTTACAGATATGGGTGCTGCCCAGCATCCATTTTTCCCTTCTCGTGCATTCCAATTTTTTTATATCAGAATTACTATACTATCTTCCTGTTGCTATTCAGTTTATTGTAGTTATAATTAATGGACCCAAAGTGACCCAACCAAGAAATAGGTAAGTAAGCAAAACTAGAATAATAGTATCCTCCTTTTCTGTTGGTTAAGTCTTAGGCAAAGGGATAAAGGTTCAAAATTAGTTGGAAATTCACTCCTTTGTAGTAATGCTGACCTGAGCAGGCAATTTCTGATCCCTGACCTTAGGCTTGCCCTACTTCTTACCATATAGAATGGCCTGTTTCTTTCTCTTCTGAGCTTATTCTTTTTATTTAATCTAGAAGTCTCCAAAATTCTTGCAATAAATCTCCTCTCATTAGTTAAATGGGCTAGATTTGGTTTCTGTTATATAGAAGAAATGCAGAGTCCTGCAGCTTTACCCAAAGTGCTTTTAGCTCTTCTGCTCACCCTCATTCTGCTCACCTCTCAATCCATCTGATCATGGATTCTAGACTTCTTGTGGCTTTGCGTGAGGTACTGCTTTCATCAACCATAGCCTGAAGGGAACTAACCAGACTCCACTCAAGGCAGAGAAGAAGGGAGGCTCACAATTTCAGATCTAATGTGGCTGACTCACTCTCTAAAAATCTAATTTACAACCAAATTCAAATAC